GTTAGTAGTGTTTCGAAAAAAATAGTATGCATTTACATTTTTCACTGCAGAGGGATCAGTATGATGCTGGGATTCCAAAGCTGCATGATTAACCTATCCAGCACAGAACCTTTTAAAAAGCTCTGGCTCCTACAGTGCGGGGAGAGGGAAGGAAGCATATTTTCAGAGGCTTTCGAAGAGGAGAAGGCATGCAGGGGTTCTTTGTATGGAGACTAAATCGCTGCTCTTGTTTATGTTAAAATCCAGTCATGGAAAAGTGTTTAATGGGTGAATATTACAGGTCTGCTATGCCTCTTACGTCAAATGGGCTGCTCTCATTGTGCGTGGTGAACGATGCGCCGTTCGTTGTCATGCTGTGTGACGTACTTTCTGGTGTGTTTTTGAACTTTTGGAAAGCCCACGTGAATTGGTTCCCTGTATAGGCCAACTCAGTAGTTGTAGAACTGCACCGATTTCATGGCCTAGTGTGGGTAAACGCTTGAGATCTCCCCTTTTGTATGAGTATCCTTTGAATTGAGACCACGTCTTTGCTCAGCATCGATAATGAGATCTTGGGGGGTTACGATCAATCACGAAGAATATTGAAACACCAGTACTTCTCACACTGTTGGGAGCAGTGCTGCTAACAGTAAGAGGAAGTGTACAAACCCAATTAGGGGCGATAAGAACAGACGAGAAAGTGGGAACTCACACACATCACGTCCTCGTTCCCTGTGAACCTCGAAAACCATCTGGTTTTTAAATTGCGAATGACCTATCGACCCCTGCAATCGTGTGAGACAGCTTTTTAACTCGTGAATTTTGGTGTTGGTCTCCCGGATCCGTAAAAATTCCCCTTTCGGGAACTAGTTAGTGAGACTCATGCAATAAGTTTAGATGAAGATTCGTTATATGTACCTCATTCAACGGCAAGCAATTCATCAACTTCGCTTCCAAAAAGGAAACAAGGCAAACGGAAATTTTCCGTTCGTATACCAGGGAAGGATGAATCGCGGTAAGTTTGCAATTTTGCACTTTTTCTCTACGAAGAAAAAGAAAGTCAGGGAGAAGTGTACCTATGAAAGATCTCATTGAATTTCAACTTTAATTTTCAGACCCGGCGATAGGCGAAGCAATCTTCCCATATCAGGCCCTAGCGATTTTATGCATATTGTGCATATGGGACCGGGTTCGGTTCATGAACTGCAGAGCTTTATTGATTTACAACCCCAAGGAGCACATAATCATTCGGCAGGAGAACGGGTATGTCACGCTTTTCATTGTTTGGTGTAGTTTTTTTGCTCTCTGTTTTTATGTCTGTACTGCCTAGAAGAATCCTCTATAGGTACGGGGACTTATCCCAATAATGAGAAGTACTAGTTCGTCGTCGGCCAGCACACATCCCGTGAAACAACTCGGTGGTTCCAAACAAGACATTGAACAGATGCACCGAACAAGGCCTCTCAGCACTACTAGTAAAAGTTCAGAAGGTAACAGAAAACTTCAGGTTCAATACTTGATATGAAGTTGTCGGTCACGAAATGGATTTTATTCATAGTTTCATCAGTACATTGTATGGTCTTTAAGTCTGAGATTGTGGTAAATGAATTCAACCACCATATTATTCTTTTATATGAACAAAAAATATTTCTGCGAAAAAATAATTCTTCAGGATCCTCATTAGGGCGAGATGGTAACACCACGACGTCATCGAATAGCTGTGAGAATCCTTACCTGGTAAGTCTTAACATTCATAAATAGCGTGAGAGAATGGAATGGCTACCCTAATCCCATTCGTGTACACCGTATCCAGTCAGGGATAGCATTTACAGTTCACGAGAGCACGTTCAAGTACCTACTGTGGACCTACTTAATGTAGAAAAGTGCTGATTTTGTTGGCGTAACAGAATTGAATTTAGTTTTGCATTTATCGGGCTAATATAGCCCAAAATTGAACAAAGCAAGAGGTTATTAAATCATAATATACGCTACTTTCCTTTGAAACACCACATGGTTCTTTCAATGGCAGGGAAGTGGGAGGCGCATAATGAGGACGTAGAGGAGAAGGCGATATTCTGATTTTGCGTTTATGCTCAGGAATTTTCTCATGTCTTTCATCAATTTAAGTCCGTTCCTTAGCTAGTCCGCAATGTCTAGCTGTCTCGCCAATCAAGTTGGCAACTTAGTGATTGCTTATGTTTCAGGAAATGTAATTACTTTTTTTTACAAAAAAAAAACAAATTACTCAGTTTTAGATTTACTATGAAATACTCAGGTACTTGTTTTATGAATGTAAAACACTATGTAGAGCAAATAGTTACTCTTCAGAAATGTTCAAAGTACATAGAAAAATACGCTCGGGTGAAGGTAGTGTAGTGGCAAGGGGCGCACTATCGCACACGCATGGTCACGGGTTCAAATCTCGGGTCGATATACGCCTAGACCAACCAAGCCTTTCATCCCTCCGATGAAAAGATAAAAGCACTGTCTTGTACATCGGCTGGCGAGCACAATTCTTGCATGGCCAAACGCATTCATAACGCCACTACGGTTCTGAATGAATGTGGAATGCGGGGCGCATCCCTCAGACGGGATGATCAGCGCCCAAAGACATTATCCTTTTTGGGATTAAGGAAAATACGCAGTTACAGTTCCAATCTTATTCTTCTTTCTCACTCACGACAAAATTCACTACTGGGATGAAATCAGTTTTCCACAGTTATTAGTTCGTAGTGGTCTGCCTCAAGCAGCATCTAAAACGTCGTGCGGTCAGTTGCTGAGCTCGCGCTCTGTCCTGTTCTTGATTAGGCTGAAGTGGTCCCCCATGTTTTATCTCTCATTCACAGGTCGATGAAGGGCACACAACAATGTTTTCTTTACTAAGTGGCATCAAACTACATATTTAGGAACCAACGTCAAAACAGCAAGCGAACCTCTCAGCGCTTCCGCAGTCTCCATCATCACCGCTGAACAGGTCACATCCTCAGTAATGCAGCTGACCGAAGCAGTTACTGATCGGATATGCGAGCACATCACAGAGATCAAGGAAACCCAATGGCCTCGTGTAACCTCTTCTAAGTAGGAACGACTTGGCTATCTTGATTGATGGAGAAGTCTTTGCACAGACGGTTCAAGAACTTCTGTCAAGGTATCTCCACGGTCTTCTATGTGCATGATATCCGATCATGGTACTTTATAATTTCCCTCGTCATTCTTCCTCTGAACTTAATATGCTCACCGATTCTCTTATTTGAACTTATTGTTATCGTCGTTATAGTCTCGGTTTTTTGTGATAAATGGTCCTTTGTAATTGTTGTATAGGTTCGTCGGTGTTGTATTAATTTTAGCACGTGTTGCACGTACACCAAAATGGCCCCACTGCTTTTGATTTCTAGGGTCATGGTCCCCCATCTTCACTATTATCTTTACATTTACGCTTATATCGGCTTTATGATAGCATCCCAACGCGTCCAGGTGCCTCTATTATATGCAGATGTGTGTGTGTGTTGTTTCACTCTTATCCGGTCGAGTTGATGTGTATGAATACGCATCTGCTTAAGGGCTTTTAATATGTGTGTTTATGGACCTTGTTTACTTGTTTACACAATACTATACTGTAATTCTTTGTATTGTTCTCGATCTTGTATGTATGCTTGCATGACCGAACGTTTAGCGTGTTCTATGACGTTGGATACTCGCGCTGAGTGTGTTTTAATTTATAGCCGTCCCCCTTTGATTTCACCATCCCTTTTCCCCTTTTCATACCGCTCATGACTTATCTTAGGCTTTGTGCTGATCGATAATCGATTAGCGCTGTTGCTAAATCATTGCGAGTTGTTTTGGATGTATATGTTATGTGATATATAAGCTGTTATTGTCCACGCATTGCGATGGATCATCGTTTCCCGTTTAACTGGTTCTGATGTCTATTTTGTCATCGTCTTTAATTCTAAAAATTAAACTAAAAGTGTAATCCTGGACAGTACTGACTAATGGTACTGTAAATAAGATAGAGATGTGCTGCAAAAACGTTTAGGGCTGCTCTATGTTGTTTTTGAAATTGCATAAATGTTTATATTATTGAGCCTGATTACATTGATCCCGATTATGAAGAATTCGCGGACAGGAAAGCTTTTGGTAGGAAGCAGGGGTCCGGAGGAATCTGGAGGAGTTTTGGCCCTATCAAGGGCTTAGTTCTCTGTACTACGGAGAGGAGCGGTCCGTCTGGGTTGAAAGTTCCGCCGACACGTGTAGGACAGTTTTTCGGGAAAGGTACTTATGGAATTCGTAGTCGGAGGGGCTGAACGGTGCCCCGAAGCGACCCATGCACTGCTTATTCCGTGGCGGAGCATCCCTGTTCTCCTGACAAGGTAACAGCATGATAGAACAGAACCTACTTCCTCGTTGCAAACAGGGAATCCTACCTGCTTACTACACGATCTCCTTAGAAGGAACAACACAAGTAGGACACGCTGGTTATAAAAATGTGTAAACTACGACAAAGACGGAGTCAATAATTTGAAAATCCAAGACTGTAAAATGTACTTGTAAAATGGAGTAGATATGAGAATACAGAGATACATGAGTACGTACAAAAACGCAATGTACAGAATCCCGTCACTCACCTTGACTCTGAGTGACAGGCTACCGACCCTGCTGCAAGGGCTGCATCGATTGGCAGAAGCCGAACCCTCATAGGCATAAGATACTTTCGTGG